TATAATTATTTGTTTGATTTAATTTTGAAATTGTTTTTAGGGGTTTGGGATTTGTCCAGGTTTGGGCGGCAAGTATATGTGTGATGAATCCCGATCAAATAGTAAGATCATGTGTAATGTAAAATCAAAAGACATTAGAACACAAAAGGTGGGTTTACAAAGATTTCTGATTAAAAAAGAATTATCGTGATCATGTTACCTACGCATGATCTTAGGATTCGATTGGTTGATTAGGGTGACGCCATATTGCTCCTAGTACTAATTACAACTTCATTAATTTTTATTTATTTGATAAATTTATATATTTAAATTACTAATTAGAGAAAATGATTTAACATCAGGTATCGTCAGTTAAATTATTTTATTTATATATCGCATCATTAATTTATTTAGTCTTACGGTGATTCAAATTTTGCATTTAATTATTAGCTACAAATGAATGGATACATGAAAATTATGAAATTGAAGATGATTTAAAAACATTATTTATTTTAAACAAGTATCAATTATCATGGATTTCTTACAATGAATTCAAAGATATTAAAGAAATAGGCAAAGGCGGATTTTCAACTGTATATTGTATGATAAAAATCGAAATTATATTAGAAAAGTTGCACTTAAATTATTTCATAATTCAAGTAGTCATAATGAAGGATTTATTAAAGAGGTAATCTTATTAAATATTTTTTATATTATTTTAATACTGTAATAACAGTTTAAAAAATATTAACTTTCTAATAATACGTTAAAAGCATATTGTGATATTGGCCTTAAAGATCTGTCTTTTTTAAAATGTTATGGTATATCAAAAGATAAAGCTTCTAAAGATTATACCCTTGTCCTAAAATACGCTTAAGAAGGTTGTTTGCGTAAAAATCTACATATTATAGCACAAATGGACTGGAAAGATAAATTAAATCTGTTACAATGTATTGCAACAGATCTTCAAATAATTCATGCTCAAGGTATTATTCATCGAGATTTACACAGCGTAAATGTACTACAAAATAGTTTTAAAAGTGCATATTGCTGATTTAGGACCTTCAATAACATCAAATATTGCATCAAAATCAAATACAGATAGGATTTATGGAATTTTACAATATATTGCCCCAGAAGTTTTGAACCAACGATTATATACTAAGACATCCGATATTTACTCATTTGGAATAATTATATGGGAAATTATATATGGTAAACCTGTGCCTTTTGACCAGAAATCCACAAATCAAATTCAAATTGATATATGTAAAGGTTCACTACTACCTATTGATGAAAATTCGGCAAGTTGTTATTCCGATTTAATGAAGAAATGTTGGAATATAAAGCCAGAGAAACGACCAACTGCAAAAGAAATTTGTGGTATTTTTGCAGAATGGGAGAATAATGAAAATCTTTTATTGGAATTATCAGAATCTGATAAGAAATTACGAAACATAAAAAATAAAGATACCCAAAAATTCAACGAATCAAATTATAGAGGTGGTGTTATTTCATGTAACAATGTTTCTAAATATCTAGGTAAAATATAATTTAGATTTTTTTAAAAAATAAAATATAAAATTATTGTAATTTATATAACATTTTTGACAATCTTTTGTAGTTAGTAAAATAGGTGAATTGCAAATACCTTCCGAATCTTCAGAATTTGGGACCCCATCCATAAACCATTTATCCATTTGTCTATTAGATATCCGAAATCTAATAAACAATTTATTAAAATTGATTTATACATGGATAACCAAATAATTTGTTAAATTACAAGCGAAAATGGAGAGCCTGTTATCTACTGTTAATTTTTTTAATGATTACTATTAATTTTCTTATCTCGATTTATCAATCCTTGAATTTTTATTTCTGTATTTCATATCTGACACCATACTTTATTTCATTACAACGTACGTGTATATTTTCTGCAACTTTATTTAAAATTATATATCAATATTAGTCATTTTCACTTTATGTAGTACATATATTTAAACGTAATTTTTTTATAATAAAATTCATGAAGTTAAATAGTTTAACTTAAACGTAATTTTATGCTCATTAACTAATAATAAAATTCATGAAGATGAATGATTTACCTTAAATACCTATATTAAAAATGTTCTATTCGCAGACTACTCTGTTGCGATGAGCAAAATAAACAGTAAATATTCATGAAATTTTAATGATTTATTTTATATACTTAATACAGTAAGACCTTCTAAATGCACCCTCTATAAGTGCACACACACCCTAAATGCATGCTTAAGTGCTGGCTCAAATACTCTATATACATGACCTTCATAAATGCATTTTTTTATTATACTCTATATGCATGTTGTTAAAGTGTGTCCCAAGGGCGTGCACTTAAAGATGTCTGACTGTAAATGTTTTTACAGTCTTGAAAGTATGAATAAAAGTATGAATAAAATCAATAGCTTATTTTAAAAACTTAATAAATATTGCATGTTTTAGCGAGAATGTAATAGAGTTGCAATTTCTTCACCGGATCACCTATGTGGATTGAAATCGGGTGACCCGGATGAAAACGGGTTGCAGATATATAGGTCATGCTGTATTCATTTTCTATTATGCATTGAAAATTTAGAGCCGTTTTTTTTTTTTATTGGGCCATTCAAACTTGATTAATTGGTAACGTCATCCCCCTCTTGGTTAACTGATCATTCCGAAATTAAACAAGCTAATTACAACACAGTAAAGACTCATTAATCATGTGATCAAAGGGTGATCAATGAAATTTAATTAAATATTCTTGGGCCATATGTTTGTTTAAATATTCTCGCCCTCCCCCCTTGCGTCTGAACCCAAAATGTTGACTTTAACCAACTATTAACTTTGAGCGGCCGTATTAGTCAGGATCGTTATATCTGAGTTAATGGCTTTTTTAGGTAGAAACTTAGTAGGTTTCAGTCTGAATCAGAAATCGAAAAGGCAGAACAATAATTTATTTGGTAAAGTGAGAGGCAATTGCAATCAAAACCTGCAAAAATTTAAAAACATTAAGCTCAAATATTAATATTTTGTTTTTTAATAAAATACAGACATTGTTACCTAATGAATTTGGAAACAATTTTGACACATCTATTGATAAATAATTGCTATGTTCAGACTTACCTGCAGATAAGAAATTATATAAAAGACGAATACGTAGCTTAAAGCTAAATCGAATGTTAAGTTATCATTAAATAATAGTTAGATAAATTAAATTAAATGTATCTATTAATGCAAACAAATGAGGGGTAATTACTTGCAAATAAGAATTAAGTATTAAGTAAATAGCTTAAAAATATTAATTTGTTGAATTGATACATATATCTAACCGATTTGATCCATGTCACAAATCTGTAATTTGGGTTATCCGTTTTGACCCGGATAACCTAGTTACTACAAACTGGTTCAGAACTCTAGAATATAATAAAGTCAAAGAGTTTATTTAACATTAATGCCATGGCCAATTCTAAGGTTTGAAATCTTCAAATCTACTAAATCTACTAAAGTCCACATAGACAGTTTTGTTAATAATTTTATCTAACCCTAAATAATTATAAAAAAAAAAGACTAAAAGAATACTCCGAAAATTTTAAAACGTCTTAATAAAATAAATTTGATTCTCGGCACTAAATAAAATTATAAATAGTAAATATTGACAAACTTAAGTAGCAATTAGCTCATAAAAAAAAATAGGTAGTTCAAAAGAAAAATAAATGTATAAAAAAAATAAGAAATAAATAAATAAAGGAAAGTTATATTCATAACACCGGTGTTATATAACACCCTATGCTATATCTCAAAAACATACTAAGTAAACTGGATTTGGTACTCTAAGTAGAAATGTTCAGGATACCAAAAGCTAGGGTTCTGTAAATGCCCATGCTGGCACATTTAGCACTATACCAGGCACCAGTGCCTTGTGCCATGCCAGTGCCTATGAGTAAAAGGCACATGGCAATTTTAGGCCGGCATCTTTGTACTGTGCCCTCAAAGATGCAAAGTAGGAATCTGCAAGTGCTCATGCCAGGCACAATGCGGTAATTTGTTATGCAGATGTAATGAAGAAAATTTGGAATAAAGAACCAGAAAATTCATCAATCACAGCAAAAATTTGTGATAATTTTGCCGAATGGATGAATAATAAAAACACTTTATTGGATTTATCTGAATCTGATATGAAATTATTAAAGTATTAAAAATGAGATATGTAAATATTTACTGTATCAAATATTAGAGTAGTTAAATATAATTATGCTTGTAAAATATAATTGAGTTTTTTTTTAATAAAATTATTGTATATTATATAACATTTTTTGACAACCTTTTTAGATAGTATATTATGTAAACATAAATACCTTCTGTATCTTCAGAATAATAATTTAGCAATTATCTATCTCTAATTTAATATCCATATCAAAAATCTATCCTTTATTACAATATCTATATTGGCCAATGACATTGACTATGATGCATCCATAATGGATTTGTTTTAAAAATATCTACAGTCTCTTTATCTTCTTTCCCAATCAACAATCTACTTGAATACATACATGGTTCACTTGAACCAGCACCCCATACATAAATTTTATCATTAATAAATAAATCATCAGAATTGTTTCTAATAGGCATAAGGATAAATGGACCTCTTTGACGACTAATGGCATTATAAGACCAACCAGCAGCAATAAAACCAAAAGATGAACCATAAGTAATCACCATATCATCACAAAAACTAAGAATCTTCATATCAACAATAGCATTTGCTTCAGTACCAGGATTAAAATTCACCGGATTACGAATATCCATATTATTTTCCACATATACAATATTAATTGTATTATTATTAAAGTGATTGCTAGGCTTAAGTAATTTAGCTAATTTATCACGATCTTCATTTGTATCAGAAGCAATAAAAATTGAAATATTTTTTCCTTTAATCCCCACCAAAAGCATTTTTATAACCTGAAAATAATGTTCTACAGGAATTGCCATTTTATATAATGAAGTTTTTCTTGATCTTATATGAACCCCTATGTTATGATCCCCAAAATTATTATCTATAAAATTTTTTACTTGATCAACAAATGTTAATTTTAATCTAAATAATCTTAAACTAATTGCAGTGAAAACTCTATAATCAGGTATTATTCTACCAATCCAATCCTTGTAATGAGGGTTTGATATTATAGGAGCACAAACATAATCCCAAGTACGAACGTATAAAATATCAAAAGAGTCAACATTCTTAAGGCTACCCTTTGTTATTAAAGCAAAGTCATTATCTCGAATATTATGTAAATATTTTGAAGAATTTTTATTATAAAAATTCTCAATAGAACTCCAATTATGATTGAAATCTAACAGAAAATACTCATCAAAATTTTTGTAGCCTTCAATAAAGAAAAGTCTATCAGAAATGATTGCATACAAAAATCCACAAACTATTCCAGGGAAACGGTTTCCATATCCTGTTACCATATCAGGTTTTACAACAACTACTTTCGGAGGATTATTTTTCTTAAGTTTTGGATTTAATAACTTGCTAATAATTTGATTGTGTTTCTTAACATAATTTTCGTATAATGAATCAAATTCCAAATATTTAAATTCTTTCATGTAAATCCATTCTCTATTCTTATTTCGAAATGTCGTATTCTGCAATGTTGATGTGTATGAGTTTTGATCATTTTCGATGTCATTAAAAATTATTGTGAAAAATATTAAAGCGAAAAGGTTAAGTATACAGAAAAAAACTATTTTTAACACTCTAACATGTAGCATAATCTGTTTATAATTAGGATTTGATTACGATGTTTTTATTTAGTTAATACAAATTAATATTATGAGATCTCGATATAGTATATAGTAAATTTTTAATACAGGATTTAAAGTTTAATAAACAATTGTATGTCGGGATCACTTGTAAAAAAAAAAAAAAAGTAATTTAACGGCTATCCACCGTGTTAAGTTCTATTTATGTAATACTACAGTACCACGTACTGTACACTTATGTTCCACATATGCACTATTTATTAGTGAATGCGCCTTGTTTATAATGCTGATTTCTTCTTAATTTTTGATTGGCTGACATCCACGTGCATAACAGATAAGGTAATAAAGATTAATTGCGGCAAGTATACTAATATGGCTAGACTAAAATTTTAATACGTATGTCAATAGCTAGCGTTTGGTGTTACGCTAAATTACTTACTTTGGTAATTACGGTTGTATTAATTAATTATTCACTGCACAAACAATATATTATAACTAAACCAAAAAAGCTAGCTTTTTCTTCCAGAAAACCGAACAAGTAAACGATAATCTTCAAAGCAGACACCCTCCTGTTTGATTACTTATATGAAAC